GAAGAGGGGGAAAAAAGCCAAATCTCCAACCTCCTCCCCTCCAGTGCAGAAAATATTAAATACAAAAACAAAACCAAAAACTTGCTCCTGGGCCAACTGGGTCTCAGCTGACAGTAGCCACCAGAGCTCTGGTGCTCCTCTGAGGATCAGTGACTTCAGCAAAGCCTGTGTCAAGATGGGGTACTCAGCATGCTCACAACCAGGGGGGGCAAGACACTGCTCTGCTACTAAGACGCCTGGCAGCCCTCCAGACACGTGCCCTGACTCATCCTTCACTGGCTCTCAAGCAGGTACGTAGCTTCCTTGCAATAAGCTGCCATCAATGGGCGCAGTTAACAGTTTAACAGCTGCATCTACCTRGAGGAAAGAGGGAGGGGGCGTGGCTCTTCATCCACTACCAGCCAGAGAGACATCACCAAAGCACCCAGAATGGTCAGCCAGAGACTTCAAACTGACGTCTCACTTCTTTTACATACAGGCAGGTAGGCATCAGAGACTCCTGCCAGGTTCAACCCTGGGCCTTACACGTCCAAGACCCTCCATGGTCTTGCCTCTGCTCATGGTGAGTACGGCCATCCATAATCAACTGGTCCCATGTGCTCAATATGGTATTTTTAAAATTCAGCAAAAAAAGGCTTTAAGGCTTTAAGCACGTGCTTCTGGGGCCTATGTACAGTTCACAGGTTTGTTAGTTCATGCATTACAGTAGTAGCTCTGTCAAAAAACGGCTCAGCTAAACATTCAAGTAACAAAAGCACTAGGGGGCCACAGCCCCAGCGTGGCCCCAGCAAGGTCAAGCCTGCTCACTGCCTGCAATGGGCAGCCCCACCAGGAGGCCAAGGGGAAGCCCAGGACAGCCAGGACCCTGGAGTCAGTGCATGCGATGGCCAAGCCTGAAGAGGCCATGCCAGCAAGCATCAACCCTTCCTCTCAGACAGCAGCATATCTGTGTGGTTCTGCCCCTTCTGGTGCGGCTTGGCTGGCTGCAAACAGGACTGGAAGCCTCGAAGCCCAGATCAGCCGTGCACCTCTGGGCCGCTGGAGGTCATCAGCTTGGCCTTCCTCTCCACACACGGTCCCTTGGCCGAGTACTGCACCAGCAGGAAGGGCTCCTTGGTCTCGCCATCGCCCACAATGCTCTCCTCCGACTGGCTGATGTGCTGTAGCCGCAGGTAGCACCAGCAAACCAGGATCAAGGCCCCCAGTGCAGCAATGGCGATGAGGATGACAATGACCGTGACCATGCCTGTGGTGGGGCTGTGGTCCATGATAGACATGGTCAGTGCTCCTGTGGCTTCCTCAGCAGGAAGCTCCTGGGGCKGCTGGCTCAGTGAGGCTGGAACTCCAGCTGGACGTGAGGGTCCATGGCGAGGCCTGCAGCCGGCCCGATCGCCCCGCAGCAGTCCGGCTGGTCCGGCTCTGCCCGCCCGCCAGCCCAGTCCCGCCGCCGCGCACGGTCGGGACGCAGGAGCCCGGCTCTCCGGCGGACGGGACGCCACCCGCCTTCCAAGAGATTTTAACTGGTGGAATTAAAATATAGTAACAATAATTGCATATAGTATGTTTATCTTCATTTATATTTTGGGGACCATCCTGGGGATGGATCCAAGGGCCCTTTATGCACTAGGCAGACGCTCTTCTTCTGAGGTCCACACTCAGTCCCAGAGTGCAGCATTTTTAGGTGATGTTGCTTAATTCAGTGGTCACAGCTCATGTTTCCTGGTATCCAACTGGTGGCACACATGCATCTGTAAAAACCAGTCTTAGCTGGTACACAGACATAATTTGGCCCTTAATTTGATGACCCCTGATCTAAACTCCAGCTCCCCTGAATTTGGCTTGCCTCTTCAAGGTAATACAGGGCAGATTTATTATAATTTTTAGAATAGCTGATTGAGTGATAGCATGTGGGATGCCACCTCTGAATTATTGGAGCTTATTTGAGGTCTTCACTTGGCCTGGAGCCAAGGAGACTTAGGTTTGGCATTGCAATCTACTTTGTGGCCCCTCCCACTCAATGGACTGCACAGTGCATGGGACCTCTGTTTCCGCTTGGCAGGGAGACCATTCTGTAGCTCCAGAGTGGGGTGTAACCCATTGGAAACTGGACTGCTCACCTCCTACCTTATTTGGCAAAGAACATTCCATGGAAAACCTTTGATGCCACTTGTCATCATGCCTGATCCTCTGTGTGATCCTTACAACTCTCAAACTCTACTGCCTCATCTGGACCTTGGTGAGAGCTGCAACTTCTCCCTAAGACCCTCTCCTCAACTTGTCGTCCACTCCACGCCAGAAAATGCCTGCCTTGGTTCTGGACCTGATCACTGAAGTCTAAGTGAGTGAGCATCTGCTGGACTAAAGCCTAAGGCTTGAGACTTTTGAACTTAGCATGCAGAGGGAATGTCTATCATTAGCCTGTCATGATTAAGTATGTTTGCAGTGCTTAGAATTAATCTAGAATTGTTTGCTGTGAATTGATTATGTCTATTGCAGTGCCTAGCATTAAGGATTGTCATTTTCTTGATTAAGAACCTATAGAGTGAAATTGTATTGAGTAATTTGAGTGAATAAAGCATTGAAAGGGGCAGAAGTACATGGACATTCTTTATTTCTCCCCTTGACTGCATATGTCGCAATTTTGCCTACTCGTGACAGAAACCAAATCCAGTCTCAAAGGTGTGTTTTGAATCAATCTTAGCCTCCCATCTCACTGTTAGTCTCCCTCAGGTCCAAGAAGATTAACAGATCTAAAGGAGAAAGCAGGAAAGCAGAAAGGATGAAGACTCCCTGACAGGTCCTCACAGAGGCTTTGTATTGGTCAGTTTGTTGCTGAATTTGGGAGGCTTCCTGCCTACTCATATCTTCTAGAAGTTTCCATACATATTTTTTGCACATCACCTTAGCAATTTTGCCACTTGTATTACTTTTTTGTTTGCTTATTTTTCTTAAGTTATACTTACAAAATATCTTGCCTGTTATACTTACAAAAATGTATTTAAAACCTGAACTTTTTATAACAATTGTCAATCAAAATGAGTTCCATTTGCCTCAATTAACTTCAAAATTACATAGAACTACTAGAGCAGTTATTGGCAGTTACAGTGCACCATTCAAAATCATCTCACATCTGAGGAAGGGTGTTCAGACTCAGTATGGATAATCAGAGCTACCAGGTCACACTAGAACCCAAATGCCCCCTCTGCTCCTCTGCCACATGCAGTTTTCCAGGCATGCYTGCAATCTCCCTTGCACTCTGAGAGCAAGGTGAGGGAGGTCCCAGCTCCTCTCAACCAGGAGACCAGGATGTTCTACCCCAAATGTGGCCAAGTGCACACATCCCATCACCAGACTCCTGGTCCTGGCCACTGCATCCTTAGTTTCCAAACACATACCCTTGCAGACATATGATCTTATTTGGGGCTGTGGTCCCTTCCAGCACCTTCTTGCCTGATCACTGAGTCATGTCATAACTCCCAACATAACTCTTCTGTGATTATTTCTGGGTAAGTGCTCTGGGAAGAAGAAAACAATCTTGCATAGTGTCCCCAGAAAGCCAGTCTGCACTAGGCTGAGCACAGTCACATATTTGCCCACTGTCTTTCTGTCTAGCTGCTGCTCAACAGAGACTAATCTCCATGGAAAGACAGAGGAGCCACCAACTCCAAAGGCAACATGAGAGCCTGCAGGAGAAGCCCCTTACACACATAGAGGGAAGCCAGCCATGGGGGGCCCTGTCTCCCACTCTGCACAACCAGCTGGGGCAGAGCTGTAGAGGATCGATGTCCCCTGACTCCTGGCACAAGTTCATCTTGTATTAAACTGAGACTGTTTCCACCCCAAATGACATTAAGCTTCTAGCTCCAAGGACAGAGAATGAAAACCCCTCACTCTATAATCTAGTCCCTATGGTATGGTCATGCAGTCACAATGACATTCTCTCACATGGTAGATGAACCACTTTACCTGCTGGACTCTAATAATCCTATAGAAGTAGACATCAGAGGCTTGGGTCACCTCAAACGATTCCCAACAGCCCCACCCCACCCCACCCTCATCCTGAAGACTCCAAGACTTTCCACCCTGTGGATGGGGAAGGGTTCACTTGACTTCTTAAACCAGATGCTGCACATAGACTACATTTCACCTCTCTCAGAAAGCAACATGGAGTCGTTGTGTCTTCCAGGAGCCAGGCTGTGGCCTGGGCTCTTTTCTCTCATAATGGGGTACTCCCTGCTTCTCAGCTCTATTTCACAACTGAACTTTGGTCTGGCCATCGCTGGTTCCTCTCCCAGTTCTAATGGTGAATGGCCAGGAGGGGGCGCTGCTTCCCACCTYCTTCATTCAGCACAACTACCCCAGGAAGAGAGCTGAATAGGGGCAAAAGACACAAAGAGGCTAAGGGGACACAGAYCATTCAAGGGCAGAGCTTGTGYCAAGRAGACAGGATCCAAGGAAGTCTGGTCTTATGGGAAAGGGATGGGAGAAAACCCAAATCCTCCCCCATTCAAAAACACTTCCTCTACCCCCACTCTGTTTTTACTATTTGGGGTAAGATCTTTACATTTTACAGATTATTTTTATACTGGCTAAAAACTCGTAGGAACTGCAAAATTCAAGAGGAGCAATATGGCTTGATCAACCATGGTACATCTTTTCTACAAGCTCTTTTGCAGACTTAAGAATGATGGTTGAAACATATGGATGGTTCACTAACTCAGATAATGCTCAAATGTAAAAAAAAATAGTGCATTGTGTGTGTGATGAAATTACTACTGTGCTCTTTGAGGCTGCACTTCTTGAGCTAAAGGTCTCGAAGCATATACAACTGCGCTGGTGCTAGTGAACTTCTGGGATGGTGTGTAAAAATATAGAAAGATATGATCCAATTACAGTCCCTGTTCCCACTCAGAGCCTCAGAGCTGCCTGGACACCCAAGCCTAACTCTTTCCTGCATGCCCTACACAGCTGTCACTGAGAACTCGGGCTAGAAAGCTCTTCCATGTGTGTTCAGCATGTCCTGCCTTTTGGGAGTTGCCATGCCAAGAAGAATGGCTCTGGATTTTGCAAAATCCAAGTGATCTTGAGGGTTTTTCCCCCTAAATATTCAGGCTTGGACATTCCTATGGGGCTGAATGTGTCAATGTTGCCTGGACATTGAGCCCAGACCCTGGTCTCAGGGAGTTTACCATCCATGGAGAATATTTACAAGTGAACACTTTGCTTTTGGCTGCTCTTCTAGCATTGTAAGGGCACCAGATCATGCTGCCAGCTACTGCCATAGTTCTCTGAGTCTCTTTCTGTATCTCTGCTGCCTGACCCCTCATCAGGACCCCACCAGGGAGTTCCTTCATCAGCACTGTTTAAGGCCATATGTTGATGTGCTGTTGTTAACACTAGGATGAAACTAAAGCCTGGTCCCCTATTGTCATTGCTTCTTATTGAGACTGCTACTTGCACTGTCCAAAAAATCCTAGGACAGAGCAAGCCATGTCTGCCATGCCAAGAGTCTGTGCTAACCTTCAGCACAGCACCCAGCCCAATGTGCCCAGAAGAGATGACTGCATTGATTGAATCTCAATAAGCCAAGACCTCAAGTTGTGACTCCCAGAGGTACATGGCATGCCGAGGCTTGAAGGATATTGGACACATTTGTTACCAGTCTGAGCTTGGCTTAGCTGGGGAAATGGCCTTCAGGGAAATAGCCTTAGTAAGTGCCCATTCCTCTCACCAAGACCCAAGGACCATGCCTAGCTCCCGTTAGCCTACACTTCATGGGGGCAGGCACATTTTCTGTTCTGCCCTCTGGCTCCCTTCCCTCTTCTCACCCCATATTCATTTTTCTCATCATCAAGGGTGAGGCATCTGTGTACTGGGCATCCATGAATCCTGGGCATGTGCCTTAAGTTTCCCAGTCAATGCTTCAATAGAAACATTGTTCTCATTTCATAAATGGAGCAAACTGATCCCCAAAATACATTGGTTAAAATGCTGTTACTGACAAACAAAATTTAAAAATTATTGAAAAGGGCCAGTCGTGGTGGTGCACGCCTGTAATCCCAGGGGCTCAGCTGAGACAGAAGAGTCATGAGTTCAAAGCCAGCCTCAGAAGTGGTGAGGTGCTAAGCAACTCGGTGAGACCCTGTTTCTAAATAAAATACCAATAAGGCTGGAGATGTGGCTCGGTGGTTGAGTACCCCTGAGTTCACTCCCTGGTACAAAACAAAAACAAAAACAAAAACAAAAACTGAAAAGTAACAAGGAACCAAATTGAAGG